TTCCTTATGCAATCGCAGTAATAATGAGCACAGGCCTCACCCTGTGCAGTAAGGCACCTGGAGCCCTGGGTGGGCATGGAACCTACCTGGGGGAGGCGGCAGGACCAGGGAGCCGCAGGGCGGGCTCTCCCCTGGGTCTGGAGCGCAGAGCGGGAGCTCCAGGTCATCTGCAGGGTTGTCCAGGAGGAAGTTGATTCAGCAAACTTTGGTAGTAACAAGCCTGTTGTTTCTACCAAGTCTAAGGAAGGCAGAGGGAGAGGTCCCTTCCCTGTAATTCTGAGTCTTTCTGGAAAAACTCAGAGGTGTGTGTGCTCCCTTCAGGAGCCAGGATGTGGTGAGGACATTGGTAGAGGGAGCAGGGAGAGTGAGTGCTGGGGAGGAAACCACTGAATATAAAGGGAGGTGAGCAGACTGGGCTGGAACCTGGAGGAGCGGGCAGCTCAGAGCTCCACAGTGTTCCTGGAGATCCCCAGCCCTTGTCCACAGACCCCTGACACCTGCCCTGCCCCTCCCTGTTCCCGATGGCAGGAGATGGAGGCATGGGCTGGACGAGCTCATACTGATGATCCAAGCCTGCCTTTAAGCCACACAGCGCTGCTGTCTGAGTCTGTGACTGAGCAGTGGTGCTTCTCAGGGAAGGGGACTGAGACTCACAGGGTCAGAAATGTGTTCACATCCTGTGGGCCCTCAGTGCAGGGCCCAGAGACAACTGGCTTGAGGTCTGACTCCCCGTCCCAGGCAGGTTGACCTCGTCACGCTCTCCCTCAGATCCCAGACTGGGCTGCGTGGATAGACTGAAATGTTCTGGGCTCTGTGTTAAGTGGGCTTTGGGAAGCTGCCCAAGGCCAGGTAGCCTTAGTTCTCATCCTCCATCACTTCCACATGCACCCGGAAGGACAGGACACACCTGGGTTCGGATACCCTCTCCCCGGAGCAGACTGAGCAGGGGCTCTTGTCCAGCAGGATCTCAAATCCACACTCCTGTTGTGCGGGGGCAGCCCTAGGCACTAGTTATGCTCATGTCAGGTGCGTGAGCCCCAGCTGGGCACCAGACACAGGTGTACCTTTGTCACCACATGGATCGGAGAAGGCAGTCACAGATCAGAGCAAGCAGAGCCACCTGGGAAAGAAGGGACTGTTCAGAGCCCCTTTTCCGCCCTCCACCTCCGGGTGCAGAGTTGAGCTTTATACCTGGCAGTAAACATGCAGCTGAGGCTTCAGAGCCTGGAGCTTGGGCTAGGTGGGGGAGGAGAGGCTGCCCACTGGCTTTTCAAGGTCACAGGCATTTTCGCGGGTCCTGAAGGTAACTGGGAGGCGCCAGGTGAAAGGGAGGTAGGGAGCTGGGAAGAGGGAACAATACGTGTTTGATAGTTGGGATTAGAGCAAGTTTGTTCAAGGAGCGGGGATGTTGGGGGCGCTGGTTGGTTAGGAAGCTGGAAACCAGATGGAGTTCCATGAGCCAGGGTCTCATTAAAGTCTTTTCAACTGCAGTGATCTCATCAGATTGGTTTAAAAACAGCTCTGCTAGCAGGATGGAGACCAAATTACAGAGACAGAAAATCAAGGTAGAGAGGCACACAGGTTAGAAGCTCCTGCCAGGAGGACGTGGACAGGGGCTGAGTGGAGGTGCCCCGCAAGGAGGCGTCTGCCCGTCTCCTCTGCAGAGGTTTACTGAGTACCCGCTGTGTGCGACTGCGAGATGGGAACACGGGGTGGGGGGTAAAATAGATGTGCCTCAGATGGCCAGGAAAAGAAATTGCCCTTAGGATTTCAACACAGTTACTGGGAGCCGGTTACTTGGGTGTGGAAGGCTGAAGGAACAGAAGAGGTTACAGAGAGAGAAATAACTGCAGAGAGCAGCTCTCAGCCCGCAAAGCCGGGGAACAGAAGGGAAGAAGTAGGAAGGCGCAGGAAACCCGCAGCTCCCTCGTCGCCCCGCCCGCCGGCCAGGTGCCCTCTGGCGCCCCCTACAGGCAGAGCCCGCCCGCAGCCCTGGCACGGTAGCCTGGGAAGCGTAGTCTGCAGACCTCCAGCGCCAGCCTGCAGAGCAGAGGACAGAGCTGGCGACCCTGGGACGGGAGACACACCCAGACCTAATTAAACACACACAGATGGTGGGGAAGAGAGGGGAGACGTCAAGCGCCACTTGCAGGATTCTGGCTGGGGAAGCTGAGGAGTCAAGGTCAAAGGATCCCTGGGAAACTAGTCCAGGAAGGTGGGGCCAACACGCCCCGGCAAGGAGACCCGGAGCTTAGTGCAGAGGCAGTCCTTTGGCCTTCGCATAGCCTCCAGTGTGTGTGGCAGCCTCTGCTAACTTGCACCTGCGGAGAGGGTCCCTTGCAGCTCTGCCCCTCTTCAAATGCTTGTTCTCCTTCCTGGTGGAATGGTGCCTTGAATTGGAAAGTGTTTTGGTGTCTGCATGTCATTAGTTTTGCTTGAGTATGTCATTGATTTTTTTTCTAATTTCTGATAGAGACGAATTGAAAATATTTTCTGATTAGACCTGAGGGCATTTGCCCTCGCCCCTACCTCTCAGCTCTGTGCAGCAGGCATCAGGACTAACAGCCTCCAAGGCAGAGGACGACAGATGCACATGGCGCCCTGCTCACAGCCAATGATTCACCTCTGCTTCGGACAGCTAAACACACGCAGCTGTGGGTCGGTCTAGCCAGAGGCGAGGAGTGTGCTCTGTGTGTTAGGAGGTCCACGGGACCACTTTCCTGTGATGTGTTATACCTTTAGACACGGCCACCAGCCTTTCTCCGTCAACCTAGAGCATGCTTATTTCACAGAGCTTGACCCCATTCAGAATGGTCACCTCACCCCTACCAGTGCAAAAGTGCTGCAGGTCCTGGCGTCTGTCAGCTCCAGCCCACCCTACCCCTGCTGCCAGAAGGCACCTCCTACCACGCAGCTCCAGTCCCCCTGCTCCCCAGCTCCAGCACCCTTACCAGCTCCCCAGTGCCCCAGAATTAAGAATTGACTTCCAGAGCCTCATCTATTTGCTTTTCTTAAACACATCCTTCCCTGGCCCAACTGTTCTGGAGCCTGAGCGTCTCCCTGCACACCCACTAGATGAAATCCCACCAATCTTTCAAGACCCGTTCAAATGCCTTCTTCATGAATGCTTTGGGGACCGCAGTCCCGACACAGTGCTTGGAGACCTCACTGTTTTCTAATGGAGCTGTCCTTGCTTGTGTGGCGTGATTCTGGGTCCCTGTCTTCCCCTCAACACACATACACACACACGCATACACACACACATACACATACACACAGAGACACACATATACCTATACACACAAATACACACACATCTACATGCACATACACATACATGCACATACATATACATAAACACGTGCACACGCGCATACACACATAGATATACATATGCACATACATGCATACATAGACATACAAACATACATACATATATACAGACACATACATATATACACAGACACACACATATGCACATAATGCACATCCACAGACACATACGTACATGCACATACACACATACACATGCATACACACAAACACACACACACACTCACCCTTCCTCTCCTTACCTCATCTGCCCAGCGCCAGGAGGGCCCCTGGCCCAGAGCGTTTGCAGCATGTATCTTTTTGCCGTGTAGACCCTCACAGGGCGGCATTGACTGGAGCTGGAACAATATCCCAGGCATCTCACGCCACAGGTGGCCTCTGGGCAGCAGAGACGTGAAGGTGGAAAGAAAGCCAGGAGCATAGGTGGCATTTCCACAGATTCACCACAGAAATTCGGGAGTGGGGTGGGCCTATCTCAATGGGCGAGAGGTCTAGTGTTTTCTCATGAACACACTTCGCAGAAATGCAGTGTTTTTTTATTGTCTGGTTTTTTGAGACAGAGTCTCACTCTGTTGCCAGGCTGCGAGTGCAATGCACATCTCGCCTCACTGCCACCTCCCCTCCGACGGGTTCCGCAACACACTTATCCTGGCCTCAGCCGTCACAAGTAGCTGGGCTTCCAGGCCATGCGCACCACACCTGCTATTTTTTTCGTATTTTCAACTACAGAGACGCGGGCGTTTTTTGCCATGTTGACAAAGCGGTCTCGAAC